ATATATATATAAAGTTATATACGTACTTCTATCAAGCTCGACAACTTATCTCAATATTTAGTTTAATCAGTTCATCTACATGGAACTTGTGATAAATTAACTAGTTCTATCTATGTTAATTAATCTTAAGTAAAATAATCCTAAATGGACCGTCCTAAAACATACATTATTAAAAACATGATTTTAATCTTTGTATACGGTTTCAATAATAAAACTAACTGAACTACTCTTAATTTCTAACAGAAATCTCTGTTTGAAATGCAATTTCACGATACGGGAAAAAGCCGTAAATAGAATTTCCTTGCATCGGCAATGTGTCTGTATATATGTAACATTATGGCCTCATATTATACATCATTTCTGGACGTGGCAAAATTTCAGGTAATTTATATACGGTTTACTCGTGAAGCGTGTTTATGACGAACGAGTGAATTTCCGCTACATGTCCGACACGACATTCGATCGATATCTTCTTTAAGGAACACTCTAAATAGTAAATCTTGCAATATTTTTAAATAACCAATATACAAAATAACCAAAAATACAAAAAAAATACATATTTTCAAATTTCTTAGCTTCTTAGTTACAAATTGAACGTTTTAAAAATGTGCAAAACAGTCAGAAATCTTATAAAATCTGGAAAGGAAAGTAAGTCAAGTTATAAAAAAGGTCGAATCCCTATTCTGACAGGACAAGATTTACTATATGTAAGAAAATTTTTCTGTATGTGTATAATTTACTATTATGTATATAATTTTTCCTTTTATTATGATTTTTCGTAAAACTCGCTTTATTTATTTCCCTGTATATGTTTATTATTTATTTTCATTTGAATTTGACATAGAGATAAAAGAGGAAAAGACATTGTTTTTTTCCAATAAATAACTAAGCGTGGTAAAACGGAAATATAGTCTGTAATTTTTTTTATATTAAAGGGTAATAAAAAGATTTCAAAATCATAAAAATTCTGCTAAATTAACTGCTGTTTTTGCAGAAAGTAAAAGTTCCAAACGTTTCATTATCAGTTCCAAAATCAGCTAAAATACTCTCATCAGTTCAAAATCGGTCGCTTTGCACTTTATTTTAATAAATAAAAATTGTATTTTTTTCCTTATGCTATATTATACACGTTTTGCTAACTAAAACGATGAACTTGTCAAACTTTAAAAAATAATCCTATTGATAGATTGAATAAGAGAATTATACGAATTTTCTCACCGAAAAGACTTGAAGTGGCATTAACGATTTTTGTCAATGGGCGATTTTGTCAATTTGAGAAAATGATCGCTTTGCGTTCTTTTAACAAGGAAAATGTTGGATTGTTGAAGTGAATCGCAATCCGCAAATTGCTCGACAAAGCTACAGCGAAGCCTAGTTTGATATAAGAACAACTTGAAATTCCCGACCTCAACAATAATCAAATTGTTCGTTGCTCCTACCGACTGTACTCGATTTAATGCAATTCAGCATACATATAGCGAATTATGAATAACTCGGTATGTCGATAGAGTTCGCTCTGAAATTATTGGCAGAATGCCTTTCGCCGAACGATCTCGAGCGATCTGGTTTAAAGCGCTTTATTCATGAGTCCATTCATTGCATGGAAATCAACTGGAATGCGATAGCGGTCTGTGGTATTTAAGAATACATCGGAATACACGAGAAGCGATCCTATCCTTTTAGTAATTCTGGACGGATATTACGTTACGGAATTCATCTTATCGCGCAAAATGTCGCGTAACATGACTTTTTCTTAGGCAATGGTCTTCCCTTTTTTCTTAAGAAAAAAAAAAAGAACATATTTCAGGTATAATCACTCTTTTTTAATTCTCTTACAAACGTTCGGCAAATTATTTTAGATCGCAACGAATTAACTTCTAACCAACTGTACCACAAGATATCTTAAAACGTTGAAATTAATTATCGAACGTTACTTGTATGATAATTAAATAAAAAAGGAAACTAGCGCGTTTTAGCTCGTAACAGATCATATCCTGTAAAAGCTAGTTAACTCGAAGCTCATTAAATCGTAATATTTCGTCGAAAATTGGGTCTACCTTATAGTATTTTATTCGTGATATACATTTCGATATAATCGCGTCCGTGCGCGGGCGCGTGTGTGGAAAACAATACATTGTATCGGTGTGGCCCCATTTTACTGACACAGCTGCGTTTTGTTCGAATGAGCGACAGAGTGTCGTTCCGCCGCTTTAAGTTTATTCCGGCCAACAGGAAATAGCAAAAAAATATTCGTTCACCCATCGTGTTAGATTACATTCATAGAACTTTATTTAGATGCCTGGAACATGTATTTGTGCACTTGCACCTCGAAGTAATCGGCTTTAAACTCTGATTATCGATGCAATCATCTATTTCATTCAATCGCCAAATTACTGAACGTCGACGTTCGAATTGAAAATTTTAGTCTAAAAAAGAGGATATGAACGACCGTGGGATATTTACCCCTAAAACTATAACAAATTTAATCATTTTTCCACCGTCTATTTTATAATTTCATCTCAAAAAAATGTTCTCTATTTTCAAATTATTTATGTTTCGTAATATCTTTTTTAATAAGAGATAAGACAGCATTTCTAGAGCTTTATCTCACAGTACTGTGTTATTGCGTTCTTTTCATAACAAATTTCCCAATTGCTAAAACAATTTGTCTTTTAAAAATAAATTCTGAGAGAGAGAGAGAGAGAGAGAGACGCAGTTAAACACCAGTTGACGTAAAATATCTCGCGCGACTCGGACATCTCTAGATTCTTCGTGAAAAAAAGTTGCTAATAATAATAATAATAAATACAAGATTGTATTCACCTGTCTGATGCAAGAGGAACGTTATCAGAGATAGCACGGCGCGCAGCCATCCTCCTCGATGATCCTTCATACTGGGTATTTCTGTGAGCGGTATCGTACGGCTCTCTTCTTACCCTTCTCCGACAGTTTATACGACAGTGACAACGACAATGGTAACGCCAACAACGACGACGACGACAACGACGACGACGACGACAACGACGACGACGACGAAACTGATCTCGTTGTGTCACACTCGCCGTTCTTTTATTGACAGTTACTCACTGCAGCATCCCGGCACTGAACAACATCCGTAAACGACGTACACATCACCGTCATTCTCTCGTAACTAATCGCGCACACCACTCGTTTGTCGCCACGCTGTGCATCACATGTCGACTCCGATAAAGTCCATCACTTGCCCCACGACAATCGTCGACCGTTTATCGATTATTGTTTTCTGGTTGATCCGTTCGCAACAACGCACAAACTTCCCTAGCAAATTTGTTGTTTTCGCGACAACTCTTGCGCGTTAACGTCGCGCGATTCCCTTTTGTGGCACTCTCTTTCTGTGAATCCGCTCTTGCGGATATATAAACGAATCGACAGGCTATTCAGTGCCTGAATACTTTGACAAGGATCGTCATGCTCTGATGACCGTCGAACGGAACAACGCTCGTTCTTCTGCTCCTCTCTGCGGCCACCTCAAGTGCGCCTATACGGAAATTGTTTTATTCATTCGAGATAACTCAGGCGAATGATCTCTGAATAATCTTCGTAATCTTAGATCTCTTCCGTTCTCTCTTTGCGACAATTTTCTTCCCGTCGCAAAATGTGTGCGCAATACTGTAACACAGTTGAATTTTCACGCATTTGATGCCCGAGTGCTCGAATCATGGAACGACGTCATCGTAAGTGCACAGCCGGAATTTCATTTGCCAACACCCGCTCTCTCCCACGTACAAGTTCGTGACACGCGGTTGACGATTATTGTCAGTTTAACGAAGCACACACGGCACCGCCCGCATTCGGGCGGCTCTCGCCCGGAATTCTCCGGAGAAACGAGGTTGATTTTCGCGGATTTGGGAACTCGACTTTGCGACTCACGTGTTTCCCTCCTTCGCTCGCTTATATATTTTTCAAGATTTCTGTATATACCCGCGAGAGAATTCCTCTCCAGTAACCTCGCCGAAGTTTCCGACGCAACTTCGTTGCGCGCTTCGGTAATTAGGATTATCCTCGAAATTCACCCGCCTGTACGTTTTTATTCACGAGTTACGTGCCATTCTTCAAGTCCGCGTAATGATACCCGAGAGATCGGCCCGACTTTTCTAAACTCACATTGAAAGTAATTAATTACCGTGAGGCATGCGCGTCTTCGTACTTTAGATACTACGTTAATTACCTCTTTTCCGATTTACTTCTTAATTGCTCGGCTACACCACGATTTATGCGCCCCGTCACGTATCCCCCGAGCCTTTACACGAGCCCTATTCGATACGGCGGTGTCAATATAGAAAGACCGTTTTTTTCGGTTCGCATCGAACGGGCTTTGAATCACGATGAGATGCCTCGTGACGCGTTAAACTACTCGATTTTCGAGTATCGACAAATATTTACCAGATCCGACACTATTCCGAATCGTTTTCGCAATGACGTCACGAAAATCGACCTCGTTCGCAAAAAAAAAAAAAAAAAACAACAAAATTTAAGGAAATCCGCACTTTACCGCGGCACTCTCGTGTAAGCACGTACAATCACTTATTTCGAGTAACACACTTGTTCCTAATTTCCAAATAGCCCTTGTTGCACTAAGAATGACCCGGGGCGCTTTTCGCTTCACACCTCGAGACATCGACTCTCTCGATAGAATTGCATTATGTATCAGACGCGCTACGTGCAGCGCGCGAAGTTTTACGACCCAGCATTATCGATTGTCCGAACGACCAGCCCAGGAATAATACGCTTTAATTCATCGACGAGCGCGTCGTTTATGCCGCGACCTCTGCGCCGCGACAACCGGCTTCTCAGAAATTCCCTGGACGTAGAATAAATCTGTTCTCAGCGGGCGAACCTTTGATCATCCGCAGATCAAGGGCAAACGAGTGATTCTCTATGTTTTCTTTTCTCCAGTAATTCATGTAGAATCACAGTTTCGAATCTCCACAGATTTGTTGCAGCGCGTGATTGAAGCAGCGCTTCCGCGCGCGCGTTGGTGGAGTCTGATTCGCCAAGTTTAAAGCTCTTCAAGGAGCTCACGTCAATGATTTGATCGATCTGAGATGAGGACAAGAGAGCGCTTGGATTTTAGACGGTCTTCTAATCCCGGGCTTAAGAAACCTCCATCTTCGGTTGGCAGCGTGTCATCGCGTTCCCTTCCATAGGTTGCGCTCCATTAACCCGAAGCAGGGATGTACATTAATCGTCGGTTAATTTTCAATCTTCAATTTCACGAAATTCCTTTCGTCGTCGCTCACATTTCGTTGCGCGAACGTTTCCGATCGTAGAAAAATGGCAGCTTCTTAGCTCGTGGAGACATTCTGCAACAAATGGAAAATTGCTCGTATTAAACTTACAATCGATTAAATAAATTCAATCCGACGGTTATTTATTAACACAAGTTATTCTTATATATTACTACTTTACCTATTTACTACCTGTATATTGTTACATTATTAATTCCTATACGTAATCGTAGCAATTTTCTTGCTTAATTAGACGATAAATAAAAATGAAGCAAATAATAGCCAAATGTAAAGTGATCGGACAAAAATGTATATAAAAATCTCAGTCGTAAATTGCAATTATATAAAAATAGATAGCAGGTTATAGCTCGGTAAAAACTCTGTTTGTCAGAGTTTACAGCGATGAATTTATGGGGTGATAGAAATCCTCGGTAACCGACGAAAGTCCAGCGTAGGGTACTTAAACGAATCTGGACAGTTAGAATGTGGGTACAAATCCCAAGATAGTTAAGGCGTCTTAAGCATCTTGTATGTATTCGTCCAATTCTGCACGAACGAGATGTAATTGGGTCTACCGTCCCCGCACCCCCCCCCACCCCTAACGCGCTCGCAAGCTAACCCGAACTTCGCAGCCGGGGAGAGATATACCAGCGTCGTCTACCAGGTGCACTCTCAAGTCCCTCGGATTAAAGTGCCGGAGCGCGAGTGCAGCTCAGAGTCACTCTCGTATAACTCGGTAGTTTAAGATTGACCGCGGAGTGACTCGATTACGACATACCTCCGGAGCTTCGAAATTCGGTGGATTTTAGGATTTACTGCACCCCGCCGGTAATCAGCTGCGTCCCCCGCCCGAGCTTTTTCCGTTCTGTGGATAATTAGGACAGCTCAGCAAAATCTAACCAAGTGAATCTCCCTCTTCATTCCAATCCCTCTGGAGGCATTTAGACAAAATTTTATTATATAGAAACTTCATAGAGCGTTAAACGGTCGTACGTACATTCTGTCAAAAAAGTACCGGGAATTGATCATTTAAAAAGCCCGCTTAAAGGAATTGTCAAAATTCTTTTTGTCGCTAAGTTGGCATAACTGTCCTCTATACTGACGCGGAGCTGGAGTGCCATCTGTCATTTAATGTGATTATCGTGCTCGATTTTATCAGTTCATCTCAAGTGTGTTTTGCGATTTTTACAATGAATGAAAAGATCGAACAAAGAATTTGTCTCAAATTTTGTATTGCAAATAGAATTTCGTGTGCCGAATCGCTGAAGATGTTACAGAAGGCTTGTATGTATAGAGCGTTAAACAATACACATGTATAATCATAAATGTATTTTTAAAGATAGACTCTTTTCAAAAAGAATACCTGTCATTTAGAAGAATTTATAGAATTGAATGAAATGTAAATATAAATCAATGCGACAAATGTATTTGCAAAAAAGATTATAATATAACTGGAGCCCATTTATTATTAAATGCTAGCTCCGTCGAATGTATTTCTGCGCGATTATATTTCACGACAAATCAAGAATTTATATGAATATATGCGGGTAGAAAATGTGAATATATAACGTCGGCGGGATGAGCATTGCAGGATTTGTACATCCAATTTCCAGACGACAGGGCTTAATAACCAAGGAACGTATCCTACGTATGCGTGTTAATTAAAGTACACACGCGTTACCCGAATTTCTCAAACTTTAACTACTCCTCCGTTGACCGAAAGTTTAAATAGCTCGCTGCACATTCGGCTGGTACGTGAAAACGGAGGATGTAGAAGGCATACTAAACACACACCAGCGGCGAAAGGCATGACCCTTTGCATTAGATTTGTAATACAAACATTCACATTCAATTTGTGTATTCGCGAATATGTTAATTAATATATCGTTGTCTAAATGTTGAAAATAATTATACAGTATTCGTACTTTCAATTAATTGATTAAAATTATTTATTGAGATAGCAAACGTAGTTTTCCGCCAACGAAGACTGAAGTACGTTCGTTCGTTACGCAAGAGTGAATACAAGCTGACGGACGAATATTTCGACGTTAAGGAAATGTTTCGACATTAAAGGGGAGATGAGAAAAAGTCGACTGTCCGCTTTGGCACAGCTCGGGAATTTCTGTTCAACTCGAGAGAGATGAAGCAATATAATACGTCTCGTACGGAGGCTAACGGGAAGCGAGAGCTACTTCGATTATCCGGGAATTCGTCTTTCATCGTCGCTCTAATTCGACGGTTACGTGGCAGCTTTCCGGAAGACTCGCGCGGTTACAACTTTGCAAACAGCCAACGATTGTAACGGTTGTTACGACGACGGGGTGTATCGGATGGAATTTGTCGACCTAGCTCGGCTGCGTTCAACCAAGCGACGCCACGTGAAGACGACTGAAGAATGGATGCCGCGTTGTGTAACTGGTCACGAGGAAGGGACAAAGATTTTACAATTTTAATTTAACCTTTAATTAGTCGCGCGAGGTTGTCGCGACCCCCCCTAGCCGCACATTTTGTTTAATGGCGCGGGTACTTTCGCGGTCTTCTATTTAACTCAAAGCGTTAAGCGAAAGAATGAAAGAAACGATTTAACAATCATTCTTGCGATCTGACGGTTACATAATTCACGAATTTCGTAAACGGCGAGCTTGTTCGACGAACCTCATCGTCATCATCTTTATTTTGTAATTTGTTCGCTAAAGTACTTACGCGAAATTGTTTGAAGAAATATACAATAGTAATTTTTCGAAAATTGATTATGTCCCGCTTTTAATAATATAACTTTGAATTAGTAACGCCGTAAGATAAAATTTGTTTTCGTCGATAAAGGCACAGTTTAGTAATTGCAGTTTAGTAATTAACTGGCGGATGTTTTATTCATGGGAAGATCTAAAAAGAACACCCGGCAAAACAAATAAAGAAATTTTGCGTTAATATTTCATACTCGTTATATTTACCGTTGTTTGTAACAGAACTTTGTTGTTATACACGATTACGACAGAAAAGAATCGTAAATAATTTAGCCACCTGCAAATCTGACCGTCCGGTTGACATGAATATTTAACGACTGTTGCAGGCACGTCGCGCGATGCGAAATCTTTCTCGTTCGTCGCACCGCTTACTATTGCACTTTACGTTGGTTGACCCCCTTTTTATCCGCAACGCCCACCAATCGCGAAGAAATTGGAGACGACCCAAACGTTCCGAATATGATAAGTGTAACTAACTTTTCACCTTCTCATAAAAATTATTTTTATCGGCTTATTCGATCAGGCAATCGCGTAAATTAATGAGCTTCGCACACGTACAATTTCACTAAAAGCTTACCCAATAATTTCAAGTTAAATGAAAAAAGCAAGTTTAGCAAACAGCAGTCGAGATTTGACGAAGAATTGTTGGGATAACGATTTCAATAAATTCCTTACGCGTGCAAAATCATCCTGGAAACGAGATATGCAATATCGTTACTCGCAATCCGCCTCTCGTTACAACACTTTGCGAATTATGTCTACGAAGTGCGAGCTTGCATGTAATCGCCGAATGAAGCAATCCTCTCGTGCTGTGTAATCATAAAGTTCGTAACTACCTTTTCGCACGGTCAACTGGAAACTAACCGCTCATGCGGTTGCCAAAAACCAAGCCACTATATCGTTAGCACGATCAGTTCAAAGAGAATCTCGTATACGTTTGGGGAAATCCATCATATCTCACTATCTTTTTATCGCTATTACGGTTTTCCGATTCTTTGAACCAGATAGCCTTATCTTTCACATATTTCCGACGTTTAGAAATAATAGAAAAAGAAAAAGAAAAAGAAGGAAAATATTATTCCAGATAAATTCATTAATTTAACGTTTATCGTAGTGTCTTACAATCGTGTTTGCTTTTTAATAATAATAAAAAAAACACACACACACACACACAAATAAATGAACGGATCCCCCTCGAATATTGCGATATTTTTGATATACGTTAAATATTTGTTACAGTCGAGATATTAAAACCGTTATATTACTCTTTATTCAAATGTACGTATAAATTGTCAGAGACAAACGTAGGTATAATAAATCCGAAGCCAGCGAGACACGAATGTATGTATATGCACGTTTGTTACTTTAATCGCCGGAGATGATAGTGCGGCACGGAATCGCGGTGGCCTGACAACGGTATAACGACGGCGTGCACAAATAAAAGCACGGTTTCTCGTTAGTTGCGATTGTAACTGCGCTACTGAATGGTCAGCAGCGGGGGAGTGTCTGCAGCTCTGATGTAAAACCGCGACACGTCCTTAATATATCCCGGTGGTTATATTTTATTTTCCGCCACGTAAAATCATTTTCGATAAAAATGAATATTAAAGAACGGAAAAACCGACGGACGAGACACTCATTCGAATATTGGAAGCTTGCGGAGTGAAGCTCCAGCAATATAAATCTTCGGTCCACCACGTGGACCTTGCATTGAATTTTCGACGGTTCTGTATTCAACACAATAATTTATCCTTGGATCCTTCCGATTGATCGATTCAATTAAGACCTCCTCTCCCCCCCCCCCCTCCCCCATACTCTCACTAATAATAAACTTACGCTCTTATCAGAACAGGATTCTAGTCGTAAGACGCGGATTCGGAGTTTAAGTTGCCCGCGTTATATAGAGTGTTATCACTACGTGGCGGCTTGCCCGCGACTGAGAGAGCTTTCGGACCAACCCCGTCCGAGTTTCCCAGATCGGCCGCGGTAGCGCTGCGTAGACAGAATCTCCACCCCCCCCCCCGTTTTCTCTCTCCCTCTCCCTCTCTATCTCTGTCCTCCCCCTCCCTCTCTATCTCTGTCCTCCCCTACCCCTTATTCATTTCTCTTTCTCACACTCTGGTGTGTCCCATCAGCTTCCGTTGGCCTCACGACAAAAACAATTGCCTCTCCGTCCCCTTCGTGCACCTCCACGTCGTACTGTGTCCGATACGTATCTGCATTCCCTATGTATTAGGTAGTAAAGTGGCTCTAACTCTCACCCTCCACCGAGGAAATCTGGAATTCTTGTCGTATTTAAATTAGCGTCTACGGCGACAGTGCTTAATGCCGAGTAAGGGAGGTGCGCCTGTTTCGCGTACGACGACACCCCGGAGCACTTTTTCAGCGCGAGGTCGGTAGTTTGGCGAGCGCGCGATAAAAGGGCAGGGTCATAAGGTAAATTGTAATTAAAAGTAAACATCACAGGCGAGCCAATTCATTATTTTATTAATATCGAACTATTTAAGAGATATTCGATGCGGAATAATTGTTTCAAATACATATTTTTTATCTTGCAATTAAAAATAATATGTATGTTGTATAATATCATTAACATACATATTATTTTTAATAAAATC